AAAAAAAAGACGTGGTCCGGGGGGGTTCCCCTCGTTAGAACTCGTGTTCCCCCCTCGGGGGCCCCCTCTAATGCCTGGCCATTGGAATCGTCCCAACCTTCCTCCCCTTACGGCGCCCCTGGTTGCAGGTTCCATTCTCGAACTGTCCAACACATTTTCATTGTCATCTGTTTTATACAGTATGTTTCCAAAATAAAACTGCTGTTTTACAATTTTGAGCATGTGGTAGTTTATTGAAGTTGATTGTAAAGCCATTGCTGCCAGTCATTTGATTTTTAACCTTTATAATGTACAGTGTTGATCTAAATGCAAACTAGGTTCTAATTGAACATACAGTTCACCCATGTTGAAAGGTACGACGGTGAAACAACGGCGCGTTATCAATGTTGATTCAATTTGCAAAATCGACACCTAATTCAACGTTAATCCAACGTCTACAGGACAACCTTAATTCACCCATGCTGAAGGTAAGACTGTGAAACAACGTCGCGATTTAAACGGTGAAACAACGTCGCGATTTAAACGGTGAAACAACATCGTGATTTCAAAGGTGAAACAACGTCACAATATCCAGTGGTGGAAAGAGTACTAAGAAATTGTACTTAAGTAAAAGTATTGCTACTTAAGGAATAATGTACTTGAGTACAAGTAAAAGTACTGAAAAATTATATGACTCAAGTAAGAGTAAAAAAGTAGTTTGCTGAAAAATTACTGAAGTTACTGCATTACAAAGTACTTTAGTATTATTTTTCTATTTTTACCCAAAATGAGACGATGTGAGCATTATGGAGCAGGGTTAACCCTAACCCTAACACTCATGTACTTTAATGTCTGTTTCACAAGTGAGACCCAGGAAATCCCTTATATGGACAAATGCATCAGATATCACTACTGCTGAATAACATGCAGATAGAGATGCTTTGACTGATGAAACGTGGAAGACAATAAACACCCAATTACAATGCAACGCTAATTGACATAGCTTGCACCACAGTAAAGATTTTTATAAAAAATATTTTCTGTCTCGTTCTGTCATAAGAAGCAACCTGGAACCACAGAAGCTAACAGTTTCAAACACAACTGATGTTATATAGGCCTAGTGATTTTGGAGCAAAACATGATATTAGTCTCATAAATTGTCATGTTTGATGCTATGTTCCAGTAAAAAATAATGTGGGGTATGGGTAAGGTTGGGCATCGTTTGAAATTTTATGATTCCGATTCTTGTCAATTCTTAATTTTCATTCCAATAAGGTCAATAATAATAATAATAATAAATAAATAATAATAAAAAAAAATCTTAGATATCATTCACATTTATTCTAACTCTTATTGCAAAATATTTCTTTGTTAGCTGAATACTATGAATGAAAATCAACAGGCTAAAGAACACTTACACAAGAATGTGTGTGCAGCAGAGAAAACAGCCCACGAGTCTTCTTGATTTGAATGGTTAAAAATCACATTGAAAGTGTAGTTTGTAATAGGGCTTTCAACTTTTTTTTTTGAATTTCGAATATTCGTTGAATTTAAAATAAAAATCCACATTCGAATGCAAAAATGTTGCATTCGAATTTTAGGTGTGCGTTAAGGAGGCAGCCTTATCAGTGGCGCATGAAATGCGATGACGATGTAAGTTTCGTTGCATTATAATGTTTTTGTTAGCCTATCCAGTTGAAGCCAATAGATGCGGCGTTGCTGTGTTGTTAATGACAAATATTGTGGGAAAAGAGAAAATCAATGTGGAGAAGATCTTGTTTACGTCAAAAATGAAACCAAGCTGTTCACACAGAATGCATATTTCGCGCATTTTCTAGAGGGACATCTATCACCGCTGCACTCGCGTCTCGCACAATAGAGCGGCATGTTTAGAAAGCCATGTAAAATTAATGCAAGTCCAACTTTGAAAAAACATATCTCGAGACTTATGGTGGGGTTTTTTCCCCATCCCACTGCAACTCGTGTTTTTAAATGAAAAAAATTTAGATTCCTCTTATCGATTCATTTGTGCGCATTTTAATATGACTTTAAACCATTCTAGCACAAGAAGACTCATGCACTGTTTTCTGTACTGTCTGCAAACATAGGGGCATAGCCATCATTTCCGAAATGAGGGGGACAGAAATGTAAAAAAAAATTGACAGGCTTTATTTTTTTCTTATGTATTTTAATTGGATAAGAAATCAAATACACTGCTGAATGATAACCAATAATTTGTATTCTATTAAAGCAATAAGCCCCAAGAAGCCGTGGTTTACGGTGAATTTATAACAGCTAAGGGGCGTTGTTAGGCACCACGGCTTCACTGGGCTTATTGCTTTTATAAAACGGTTATTCCATATACGTAGTAAGGTTTCACAGAATATAACAGAGCAAATAAAGTGTAATGATATAAATAAAAACAGTATTCTTCCATCAAACAATGTAGTTCCTCAGAAACAGTTGTGGTTCCAACAAAGTGGTTGCCGAGGAACACACAGAAGTAAACAAAGGTGTATGTTTGTAGTGTAATTAACAACAGCTTTGAACTCAGAAATCAAGCACCGGAACTATCCGTTTTATAAAATATTTTTTCTATATTTTCCTAATGACAATTTTAGAATTGGTTTATACAAACACATAATAAGGCAGAATAAATTCAATACTGTATTAAATGTTATGTAAATTAGCACTGCATTATTCATATACTATATTTATTACCTCGAAATGACCTGAAATGACCTTTTTTAGCTACAGCAATAGTGGGATACCTTTGTCCACATTAGGGATTTCCTGCACACCATAAGTTATTACTTCTACTAGGCCGTTTTGGACCTTCAGCGCGAGAGCGCCCTCCGGCTTCGAGTATGAATGAAACATGCATGAGAGTGTTTAGCCCTGTAGCGTCTGGACCAATCAGACACACAATATACATTTTGTTAGTTATATTTAACAAATACTCTGTAACACCCCTCAGTTAACAAGCCATATGAGGGCCTATGGACCCTTCCCCCGAAATGCGTCTTAACACCTCAGAAAGGCAGAACTTCACACAATGGGTCGTAAAACCCTCCAGTGATTGCAACCTCCCACTTGGGATTTCAGCCTTTCTCATTGGACAAGCCCATCTTGAGAGGCGTGAATCTTCTCAGACCGTCCGGAACGCAGTGCATATTGCGATGAAAGATGGGACACAGTACATACAGTCTTTAACTGCGGAATTTCAATCACAGATTACCGTCGTGCGCGGGCTTATCGACAAGGTGGACTATGTCCAACGCGAGATGAGAGGCCTGAAACAAGACGTTGTCGGCTGCAAATCGGATGTGTCTAAGTTTCAAATAAAGCTGGCAGAATTGGAAGATCGAGAAAGATGCGATAACGTTCGGATTGTTAGTCTTGCACCGAACCGTGAGGGAGGTGACGCGATACGCTTTCTCCAAGAAATGCTTCCAAAGTGGATCCCTTCGCTCTCAAACAGGCCGATAGAGATCGAACGAGCAAACTGCATCTATGGACAGCAGAGGTCCACGGAGACGGGTCGCACTATGATTTTTAAAGTGCTGAGATATCAAGACCGTCAGGCTATCTTAGACGGGGCTAGAGAGGTGAGCAAGAGGGGACCAATTCTGGATGGCGAGAATCGGCTGAAATTCTTTGCTGACTACAGTGCTTATATTTCGCAAAAACGGAGAGGCTTTGCTGATACACGGAAGGAGTTGCGGGCAGCAGGAATCCAGTATTTTCTGATTTACCCAGCCATTCTGCATGTTATGCACAATGGTGAGAAACTGTCTTTCTCTTCGCCACAAGAAGCAGAGGAGTTCCGACGGCAGATCGCTGATACTTCGCGGGCAAGACGGCAGCTGACTTTTGCTGATGTCAATCCATACCAGATGGACACGAATCAAAATGATAATTAACCAGCCATCAATACTGGTAGGCCTGTCTATGAAACTGTGTGATCTAGGACACTTGACATTACTTTGAATAAACCTACCGATAAGCTAAAATGCTGTTTCATCTCTAACGTCATACTGTTGTTAAGTTTGGTATTACTGTTCAGGATTGCTTTTTTGTTCCAGACAGACACCACAAGTTTTAAAAG